AACCATCAATTATGTCACCAATGGATCCATACAGTGATCCCATGACTGCATTCACTGCACACTCTATCATAAGACTAATTCATTACTTACTGATTGTCTGTAATTGTGGTCCAAAGGCGTGTAAAATGTATTTAAATTCAATTGCATTCACATTCATGAACAGTATATATGACCACAAAAGACACATTCATTTGAGCTAAACATACAGTTAGAGGTCAGCACCGGATTAATGCCACCACTGATTGACAAGTGAAGGCAATTCAATAGTTTTTTGATTTAAATTTCATATTAAATCACGTTTCCCTGTATACCAGTGCTAGCAATACATTTTATTGCTTGCTTATTAAGGTTCAGTACTAATTTAAGCAAATCAAGTTAAGTTAATTGAATTCAAATGATACTCTTTTCTAACCGGTGTTCAAGCACAAATTAATTATTAAGGTTGTTAAAATATAATTTAGCAACTATATGGACTATGAGCATGTTAGGTAGATTCATATTAGTATAAATGACATAAATTGAGCTATATTTCTGAGCAATTTCATAATGAATTTATATTACTGTATGATTAATGATGCCGGCTACATTAGTTAACCTAACCTCCAATAAACTGGATTCTGAGATTATTAAATGAAGTAATAAGTTATAATACAAATAAAGTGCTAATAATTCAAAGTGATAGTCAACTATTAATCCCTAATCCCATATGAATGCAATATATTGTAATAATAATGTATTATTTGTTCAAATCATTGATAAGTTGTCCGCAAAGCACACAAAAACTGATTCATAAGACTTTGTCAATGGCTTCAGTGAATGTGAGGGCCGTTCACACCTGTAGTGCGAGAATCAGCACATTTTGAGCGCCATTTATACGAAAGTCGCGTCCAATTGATTGCATTGACACCGATTGACAACACATTATCTGACCATAAGTTGGTCCACAAGTGAAGACACAAGTGGTCGCACATATCGCGCAATGGATTCCTCGCAGCTGTTGACCCATACGTTGGGCGACAAAGAGTTGGCGAATGAGATAAAGAGGTGTCGTGTGCTTCTGGTGGGCGCCGGTGGTATCGGTTCCGAAGTGATTAAAGATCTGCTGCTAATGGGCTTCGAGACCATAGAGATGATAGACTTGGACACTATCGACGTGTCGAACCTGAACCGCCAGTTCCTCTTCAACCGGCAACATGTGGGCAAAAGTAAGGCAGAGATCGCGTCTGCGGTGGCGGTCGACCTCTTCGGCCACAACTCGTCGGTCAAAGTGAAAGCCATCCACAACTCCATCATGTCGTCCGAGTTTGGCGTCGATTACTATAAGAGCTTTACTCTTGTGATCAATGCGTTGGACAACAAAGCGGCCCGAAGTCACGTGAACCGCATGTGTCTGGCGGCAGACGTGCCGCTCATAGAGTCGGGCTCTGAGGGCTATATGGGACAGGTATTCCTCATCAACAAAGCCGTCACCCAATGCTATGAGTGCGAGGGACCCAAACAGGACAGCCGTACGTACGCCTCGTGTACTATACGCAACACTCCGTCCCTTCCCATCCATTGCATCGTTTGGGCCAAACATCTCTTCGCGCAACTGTTCGGTGAAGTGGACGCCGACAACGATGTGAGCCCTGACACCAATGACCCGGAGTTGGCCACCAGTCATAAGAATGACACCAATGGCAAGAATGGTAAGACTCGGACTCATTGAGTGAATGAATGAATGAATGATTTATTGATTTGATATTTGCATTGAAGGCTCGACTCCAGCGGCTAAACAGCAATCGACCAGAGATTGGGTGCAAAGCTGTGATTATAACACGAAACGAGTATTTGATAAGTTGTTTAAAACAGATATCGAGTATTTGCTGAAAATGGAAAAGTTGTGGGAAAGCAGACAAAAGCCAATTCCCGTCGATTACGACAGAGTGGTGGCCAATGACATCGAGTTTGACGCCATTGAGGGCAGCAGTAGTTCCCGTTTCGGATTGAATGGTTCGGGAGATAATAGTCAACCCGATCTCAAAGACCAAAAGCTTTGGTCAATCACTGAGTGTTTGTCTGTTTTCGATGAGAGTCTTAAAGAACTGAAGACTCGTTTGAAGGCATTGCAAGAGAAGAATGAGAAGGAGTTCTTGGTTTGGGATAAAGACGACGACTCGGCTTTGAATTTCGTGACCGCCGTCTCGAATCTGCGGTCGTTTTGCTTTCATATCAGCCGTAAATCGAGATTTGATGTCAAATCAATGGCTGGCAATATAATACCCGCCATTTCGTCGACCAACTCAATAGTCGGCGGTTTAATTGTTTTGCAAACTCTCAATGTTTTGCGAAATATTGTTAACAAACAAAAGTCAGAAATGTCTAAAGAAGAGGCCGACA